GTTCCATGATTTGTATTTCTGTCAAATTTTCATACTTTTACAATATTAAATTTAATCAATCAATCAATCAATCAATCAATCAATCAATCAATCATCAATCAAGTTTATTTGAATAGCACTTTTCAGCAACAAGGCAGTTCTAAGTGCTTTTCATCTTAATAACACAAAAATACAAAGTCATAGAACACACAGTTAACAATTGAAGCATTACAGTTTGTCAAGTGCCATTATTACTAGGGGTGCAACAAATATCGAACCGTATCAAACAGTGCTGTATTGAACAATACAGATTTTTAAAATAAATTTTATCAACTTGTCTTCTGAAGATGCTCTGTGTTGAAGGATCAGTGGATCTGTGTTCGACTACTCCACCTAGGCTGCATTTTTGAGCGCAGATCCACTGAGAAACTTGCTGTTTCAGCAACATTTAATTAAAAAACTGTACTTTTGAGGTTAAACAAATGTTCATAATTAATATAAATGAATTACAAGTTAAAAGGGGCATGGAAATTTATCTTTTTTGTATCGAAAAATTATCGAACCGTGAGATTAAAGTATCGAACCGAACCGAACCGTGAATTTCCTGTATCGTTGCACCACTAATAATTACGCATCAAAATGTTGAACATTTGTAATTTACAAATATTTCTTCCATAGAAATACAGTAGGATCTTTTTAATTCCTTAAACACTTTTCTTTTTCAATCTGCTTCAGCAAACTTGTTCTATTTTGTTTTTGCTTTTAGTTACGTTTTAATTACATTTTTCTATTCCTAGCTTTTAACCTGCTTTTAGCTTTTAGCTACTTTTGACTTCTTGCGTAACATTTTGATATTTTTAGCTAGTCAACTTTTAGATTTTAGCTGGTGTTTTGCTACTTTTGCTACTTTTTGTTGTTTTTAGCCATTTCCCAATTTTGTTAGCTACTGTTAACCAGGGTTTTGTAACTTTTAGCTTTTAGCTAATGTTCTGCTCCTTTTAACTATATATTCAGCCTCTTCAGCAGATTTAAGCAGTCATACAGTGTTCAGTCTATATTTCCATTGAAAACACGACTTTTCTTTGTTGTTGAGGAGAATCGGAGAAACTGCACTGATCTGCAAACTTTACTCCGATAATGATAACCAAGATGGAATATTTGATCCTGACTGGCCTAAAAAGGCAGCGGGTGTATTCATTAAATTAAATTAAATAGAATAATCAAGGCGTTTTGAATTTAAACTACCATTAACTCACCTTCACATGGATGTGTGTTACATAGGGCCTCCTCTGTGTGCAGGCCGATACAGATGTCCCCTCCGTTCTCAGGGGGCGGGCTGCTGCACGTCCGGGTCCGCTGGTGGTGCCCGCCTCCACAGCTGGACGAGCACTGGGACCAGGCAGACCAGCAGGACCAGCCTCCGTTCACTGCAAACAAACTGTCATTGTAACATAATGTTCCACTACAGCTGCACCGACAGCCAGAACCACGCTGGTACCTGAGCAGGGATGAATGTTGCAGTCCTGATATTCCACCGGGGACCCTGCACAGGCCCCGGGGTTGGTCCTGCCCTCAGGCGTAGAGCAGCTGCGTTTTCTGGTTCGAAAGCCTCGGGAACACTGCTGGGAACAGATGGACCATGTTTCCCAGGATCCCCATCGGGCTCCTTGAGGGTGGGAATAAGCTCTGCCACTGGTCTTAATTAGATTTTCAACCAAAGCTGAAGATACAGGAAGAAAATGTCACTTTTTAGGTAAATATGAACAAAAAGTTAGTTCATTTTGCTGAATTTAAAAAAATCTAGACATCTAAACCCTCCATGCCATAAGAAACTTCAATTAATGCAATTTGTTGTGGGTCACACAAAATAAAAAAATAATACAGCTCCCAAAGCGCCAACAATCAAGTTATTTGCATATGAATCTGAAGCTTCAAATGAGGCTGACAAGCATCTGATTCAAGTTTCCCCTCCTGTAGATGAATACTTTAGAGCAGGCAGCTGCAGATAAAATGACATTTTCAGTCTGTTTCTTCATTTCAAACGCTTTGGAGCCAAGTCTTTGGAAGAAAAAAAAAGAAAAACCTTTGGGATGCAGTGAGTGAGCATCTGCTTCTTTATAACAAAACATAGATGTTCCATCAGTGCAGTGGACTGATGTCCAGAGACATAAAACCAGAAGTTTACTGACCACCTTCAACAGGATACTAGTGTGGAACTCAATCAAGTGTTTCACAAAAACAACTGATAGATTTAAACCTTTATAAGGAGTCTTAATTCTGCCTCCTGGTAGTTAAATATTTCTAAAATAAATAGTCTTTAGCCTTTATTTTCCACTTTATATTTGTACTCACAGTCAGTTTGACAAGCTCCAGATCCATCGTTTGGGCAGAAACGGGTCTCCAGTTTCTTCTTTCCCAGCTGCATCTGCTGGGGGTCGTGCAGCGGAGCGCGGCACGTGTACCTGAACCTCTGCTCCTGCCGTGCACCATCCTGACTCATGTTGACCGGCATCCAGGGGGTCCAGGGGGTGTTGCGGCGCACCTCAGGGCAACTCTCCAGGTTACAGACCCTAAACTCCTGGAAATGGGATGAAGGAACCTAGTCAGAGTTACGACTGAAGGAGAGTCTGGGGGTTTTACTGGTTTTTTAGTGTCAACAACAAAGATGGTGCCTTTGCTTTTTTTTGACAGAGATTCATTTGCAAACTACTATTTAATGGGGTTTTGTTGCGTTTTCTGGGCACAACTAAGATTTAAATGTCAGTAAATGTTGTATTCCAGCAGCACCTCTTCCAGCTGATCAAAAGGAAAAAAATTGTATAGGTCCTCTGGAYGGGTTCTTCCTTAATGAAACGTTTCGTCTCTTCCAAGAGACTTCTTCAGTCTGAGAGTTTCAGGCAAAATTCAGGCTTTTAAGTCCTGCCTCCAGGTGACTGATACTCACATCACATGGCTATCGTTCACAGGTGGCTGATACTCACATCACATGGCCATCGCTCACAGGTGACTGATACTCACATCACATGACATGGCTATTGTTCACAGGTGACCGATACTCACATCACATCACATGGCTATTGTTCACAGGTGACTGATACTCACATCACATCACATGGCTATTGTTCACAGGTGACCGATACTCA